TGGGTTGGGGCGGGGTGATGATTTGGGGCCTGAGCTTGTTGCCCTCTGCTCATCACCCCAGCCTGGCTACCTGCTAATGGTTTGATCCATGAGCGCCCTCCACTGAGCAGACAGCCTGAGCTGTGGGAATCATTCAAGGAGGAATCGTTTAGGGAGGATTTATGAGATGCATTCGTCATGAAGTGGGCTGAGACAAACAGACTTCGATTGGTGATGGCGGCTCAGTAATAGTTTACCACTCCGTGTCTCTACTTCTGGTATGTTTTGACTCCTTCACTTTCCCAGAGCATAAGCAGTAATTATGAACGATTATCTTGGCCCTGTGATGTTGAAAAATGGTTGTATATGGCACACCAGGTGCTTCTGTAAATGATGACTTGGGATTTCGTAGCACATCATCAAGTTATTAATGCTCTGCTTTTCATTATTATGATTGTGATGAAGTGCCATTATAAACCTTAAAAGGTGAAGAAACTGCTTTTGTCCTATGTTCATCCTTAGTTTGAAGATGGAGCTCATTGTCGGATACAAAACGAATAATAATATAGTCTGAGCGCCCAGCCGGTCAGCCAGTGGCAGCAGGGATAGGCTTTATTCTTACAGACTGTGTGGATGGGTCCTGTTGAGGTATGTGATACCTCCTGTGGTGTTTCGGACTGGGATTGGGAATGTTTGGAAATTGGATAAAAAAATTAGATCCCTCTTTTGTTCATCAGCGTTTTGGTGAACGTTTGCTGGTTTGTTACTTCTGCATAGTACACACTGGATCTTCAATGATCAACTGCTTTCAAACTTTGGGCTATCATTACTCCCAGACTGTATGTCATTATCATTATTAGATTTTCTCACTTGACTCCTTTGATCTGCAAACAGAGAATCTTTAGTGCAGTGATACACTTTCATTACAGCTTGCAGACTTGTATTCTGCATGTTTTTTGTTAGATTCTTGTGTGCAGTTAGTTTTGGAAATTAAACTATTTATAAAATAGTACTTGCTTTGACATCCGGCTGAGTGACTTTTTTTAAATCATGTACTCAAAATATCCATCAATTAGTTATAGACTGAAGAAAAATGCCCACTGTCATAAAGATGCAGAATATTTCCTGTACAATATTGTATCAATTCTGAATGAAAGACTGGAAAACGTTCCCTTTTTTAAAGTAGTGAGTTTATTCTTCTATTCATGATTAATAATATGTTATTTAAAGGGGGATGGGGTTTATCACAGGGGTGTCAAACTGCGGTCCTTGGGGGCTGTTGCCCTGCAGGTTTTAGAGACACTCTGCTTCTACCCCCCTTACTCTGATAAAATGGATCTCTTCAAAACATTGTTAAGTTTTGCACAAAGCCTGCTGATGGTGTATCGATGGGAATCAGGCGTGCTGAAACAAGGAAAGCTCTAAAATCTCCAGAGTTTAACACCTATGGTTTAACACTTTAGCATTAGAAAAAAGTTTTTTTCACCGGTTCTTTGCAGATGTTTATTAAAATGTATAACGGTGTGAAAGTGCCTCTAAGGTTACTGTATCTGAATAACGATAAGTACTATAATTAAATTCAAGAACTGTATGATTCTAAACTCTTTCTTGCATTAGACTTCTGTTTACATGCTTTAATACATTGAATTCCACAAATGAAAGAGATTTGGTTGTCTTTGATTTAGCTACCAGTGTGGTGTCTAACGTTGGGCTTTTTTTAACATTTATTTTAAGGGTATTCCTGAGAATTCTAGTAGACATGAGAAGTTTGGACTCCGGTGCTAATCAGGGAACTGGAGACCACAGTCTGACTGGGAGGATAAAGGAGGTTTGTTGTATTAACAAAGCCGGAAGCAGGAAGAATCAAAGCACTATCACATGCTTTAATATTCTGCCGCTGTTCTAAAGCGAGACATTAACTAAGCTGACACTCCCTGACCCAGCTGCCTCTTTGACGAGTGACTGAGTTTCAGTGAAAGTCTGCAACATAATCCACATGTGACAAAAAGACTTTGACAAATTACGTCAGCCGCCACCACCCTCCCTCTTCTCTCTCGTTCACTTGCTACATAAACTCTGCTGTTGCTCTCCCTGCTCAATTATAGTCACTAACATTTGACGGCTGAGCTCTCGAATCCTTTGGAGCAGTGAGAATGAGAGAAGTCAGACACACCCAAAGATAAGGCAGAGCCACATCTCTTGTGGAAACCGAAATGGTGCTGGTGTTTAAAATAATAAGATGCAGCTGTTGATAGTAGCGACTGTCTCCAGGTCTGCTTCCCTGTGGCCTCTACGGCAGCAGAGGAGCCGTGATGAAGGCAGACAGCTGACAGGTGCTCCAGGATGCTGCTGCCATCAGGTGCATCTGCTAAACTTAACTCCGAGACAGGGAGACGGAGGGGGGAAAAAAAGATAGCGAAGGAAAGAAAGGGAGCATATGTGGGAGAGAAAAGGAGGAGGGGCCAGAAAATATGTAAAGGATATAAGATCCTGAGCAGGCAAGTGTGTATGTGCATGTGTACGTGTGTGTACGTGTGTGTGTGTGTGTGTGTATATATACGTGTGTGTTTGTGTGTAACTCTTGAAACTTTATGGCTCTTTAAAGAAATTCAGAGGCTGCCTTTGAACCCGTGAAAGTGACTGAATCTGTGCCTCTGCATCTAGACACTGACACTCTGAAGGGGCTAACAAGTTTACCGAACAGGTCAGGAGATGTGGAGGCAGTGGGGGGAAAAAAAGGTAATAAGGCGAGATAACGAGCAAGTGCAGAAAATGACGGAGAGGGTATGGAACGGTATGAATGAGGGATGAAGAAATTAAATAAAAAGGTGCGAGGGGGAGAAAAAAAAGGCTGCTTGTCAAGAAGTAAGTTTGAGTGTGTTTAAAATGTGCGCGTGAGTGTGAGTGCAAGTGTGTGTGTGTGTGTGTGTGTGCATGAGAGGAAGAGGATAGGCACTTTGCCATATGTTTCTATATCACTGCATGCATCAGCACTCTGCAGGTGAACACACAGACGCCTGTCAGGAATGCAGCCTGAGCGGAGTCTGCAGCTTTAATGCATTCACTCTGTGTGCCGCCGTGACAGCCGTGACACTCCTCTTGTTGTTTTTTTTGGGCTTTAATAAAAGGTGCACAAGTCAGGAGCGCGAGGCAGGGATCGGAACCCCCCCCTCCCCCCGAAAAGTAGAGGCCAAGCGCAGATGAAGTGTTCCCCTCGAATCAGGACGCGGCGTTTGGGTCGAGCCAGAAGGTGACAGAGTTTAGCCAAGGAGCTGATCTTTTTAAGTCCTCATTTTCCCCCCCCGTGTGTGTTCTGCTGGCCTGGCAAACACGCTTGCTGGACGCTGAAATGCGCGGCGGTGAGGTGGGAGAGGAGCCTGACGGAGCTCAGAGCGTCGCAGGTAGCCCGCCAGTGTGGCCAGGAGCGCTGTCACCAATTTGTTCCTAGCCATGGGGGACATGCAGGGGATGGAGAGGCAGTGGCAGCTCCCTGTCCTCATCATGGCTAATGAGGCCTCGGCTTCTTCTTCTTCCTCCAGTGTGTGTGTGTGTGTGTGTGTGTGTGTGTGTGTGTGTGTAAATGTCTGACAGCAGCCTGCAGAAGTTTGTGTCAGAGTGCTGCCAAAGCTCCCATTCCTGAAAAAGCAGAGCTGATATCTGACACAGACCACCGTGCACTCTTATATGCAGACCTCTGAGCTGAATTATTTACCGAGCAGACATGCGTACACGCATGCACACACGGTACACACACACACACACACACACACACACACACACACACACACACACAGATACGGAAGAGATTAGGTCTCGTTCAAGGCAGCAATCATTCAATAAAGTGCAGCTCTTCAGGGACACCACACCAGCTGGGACAGCCGGTTCACACGTCTAAACCTCAAGGAAACCTGAAAGAATCATACTAAATTTGCAGTGATAAAATAAATTAAATGAATATTTTCATATGAGGAGTAAAGTCTGCGAGGGCTTGAAGTCAACAACAGACAAGACAGCATCAGGAGGACGCTGAATTTGAGTATTGACCAGCAAAAATGCTTAAAAAGGAGCATCCCTCATTAGGTCAAAATCTTTGGAGAAGCCAACACACGTCACTCTGCTGTATCTGTGAAAACTGGAGCTGCTTATACGCGTTAAAGGTATCAGGAGTACAGAGACATGCAGCCCTCTGATGGATGGGAGCTGTGTGTGCTTGTCCTGTATCAGACACACGGAGGGCAAATGGAGCAGCATCTGTGGTCCCGGAGCTCCTCGCTGTGTTCAGGAATAGGAACTGCATCTTCTTTCATAATCAACAGGAAGACATGATGGATTATTCATGGTTGGCTTTGTTGTGAGACAGCGTAAAAGAAGAAAGTGTGGAAGGGTAAAAATAGATTTCCAATGTTCAATTTAAATCAAATTGGTCGTGTCAGATCCATACAACTACACCTAAAAACGACCATTCAAACAACAAGTGGCACTATGTTCATTTTGGCTTAGAGTCAAATGTCTGTTGTGGAAATATTGGACCCCACACATCCCCTGCTTGGGGCAGCTAGCTCTTACGGTGGTTTTAGGTACACAGTGATTGCATGGTTTGCACTTTTCTGAGGAAGAATATTGCAGACTTTTCATCATCATGCTAATTCATGGTTTCTATTTTCCTCAACATGCATTTTAGTCATTCGGATGAAAGTCAAGTGCGTTTCTTTTGGCAGGAATCTGGTCCGTTTGATTTTTGCAAGACTACAAAGTGAGTGAAGTTTGTCCAGAGTTCTTATTAACAAACGGCAAACATTGGTTTGGTGTTCAGCCATGATAACTCTCACTTTAAATAGTTCAAGTCATTCTGCTTTTTTATATATACATATATATATATACAGTGGTAACTGCAAATTACAGCTTTTAAATGTATTGTACTAAAAAATCTGCATGTAGGAGTGTTTCCACTATTGTTCCATTCCTCTTAGTGTTGCTGTAGCAACAAGAAGAGGTTCTGTGGACCTGAAGTCCCCAGAACCGTGAGTTTAAAAAAACATGGCGACAATTTTAGCAGTAAGAAATGCTGAAGTGAACAAAAACATTGTGGAAAACCACAACAATACCCCAAAAGGGGCCTCTTCAAAAACTGTGGGCTTAACTGTGTTAAGTGCTTTTTGATTTATTTATTTTTTTGCACTGAAACGATAAAAATCAACCTCACTCAAAGACCAATGCGCATTTAACTGGGTTTGAAATCTGATTTAAAGAAAAAAAAAGATAGAGAGGAAAGAGAGGAGCAGAGCAGAAGAAAGTTATGGGGTGGGAGGTGAGAACAGCGTTCTGCTGACTCACATAACACCAGAACATGGCAGAGTCAGCTCTCAGGGAGCAGTGCTGGAAATATCAGCTTATTTTATTCCTCTCCCGCTGGGACCCGCACATTATTAGAAAAAGAACTGGCAACTCAGGACTGAGACTGTAAATGAATATTTACCTGCACCCTGACCCTTTGGGACGCATACATATTAAACACATTTGGGTTTGTTGCACCAAGGACCTCAGACTTTAATCCCACAGAAACAGTTCAAACCTTCTGAATTTGATGGAACAGAAACCAATGTGGAAAACATTTAACAATGCAAAGATAACAGATGAGATGCACTGAGCAGAATGCAAATGAGTAAGGATCAATACAGGGATTTTAATAATGACCATTCAGGTTTTTTTTGTTGCTTTGAGTCAGCAGGAGGGGGGTGCCGAGTCATCAGGCCGTGGGTGTGGGCGGTTTAAAGAGTCCAGTCTTTCTTAAATAGCGAACGATGAGCGGCACCGACACCAGAGTGATGCTGATGCGGAGGGGAGCGAAGAGCTTGTGGATGGCGTAGGCCAGGACGAAGGTGCTGGTTCCTGCGGCCATTTTGGACTGAACCACCGCCTCGCTGAAGCCCACTTTGCACAGGATGGCCGCCATGTCGATGCCACTGGGGGGCCAAGACACAGAGCCAATTAGAAAGGGATATAACCTGAAACACTTCAAATAAGTTACCAGAAACTGGGAAAAAACATATTTCACACACAGGGCTGTGGGACCGAAAGGAGTTGATATTTAAGGATTCATTTCTGCTGTTTATACGTTTATTTTTAAGTAAATATTCATAAATACTTTCTCTTGACATATTGTGATCTTCCATTTAATGGCCTTTTTCATTTCATGGAGTTAAGGAGGATTCTGCATGTAAAGTAAAGAAAATTTCATAATGACATAGTGGCAACAATTTTCTGATTTGTCATTTACAAATTCCCCCTGAACGTCTATTTGGAATATTTCAGCTGTGCTGGTCAAAGTCTGCTAGGAACAATAAAGCTCTCATTAGTTTAAGATTTTAGGGAGGCACAAATTCATGATCGGGACTGGCCACGGTTGGCCCCCACCGTTTGCACATGAGCTGGAAAAAAACTGATCGATAGCCAGATTTGTGAGCTATGGGGAGATGAGCGTTGGGGTTAGAAAAGTCCAAATGTACCCTGGAACCTGCTCCAGTTTAGACCATTGAAGGGTGTACAGAAAGTTGTAAGTGATTCATGAAGGTGACTCTTATCCTCTCACCAGGTCACCATGGTAACTGAGGTCAAACCTCTTCTTGAACATGTTTAAATAGAATTTTTGAGAGAAGCAACAGATTTTGAATGCTTCTTGAAATGGCAAAAAAAATAATAATCTTCCCGAAATATCGGGACACAGGTTACTTAAAGTTGTCTGACACTGAAAAACACTTCAGCGTATACTTTGAATTAATCAAACATCAGTTTGTTAAACAGTTCAACAGACAGACTTTTAAAATAACATATGAATTGAATACAGATTTTGATTTTTGGTGTAATCTATTTATCTTAATTGCAAAATGTACTCAAATATAACACTGACTCAATTACATGTTTCCTTTATTTATTGTTCAATATATGTCACCCTCTATCGCCTATTAACTTCAAATCAGCCCTTTTAGAGGCAGCTTTTTGAGAAACAGTATCCTTTCCTGCAGCTGTCTTTAACCGGTTTGTACTAATTTCAGCAATAGTGTTTTTTTACTGATAAAATATCACGTTTAAAGGATTTATAAAAGCAAGTTTCCTAGAATCAACCCGAACTGCGATTATAGTTGTAGTTTGTGTTTATGTCCACCAGAGGGAGCTGTACTCGCCAGAGAATGGTGGGTCAATTTTTTTTTCATTCCAATTTGAATAAATGACCTCAACCTGAAACTCAGTCGCTGAACAACATGAAGCCACGTGCTTCACTGACTCTGATGTGGGCTTTTGTTATCTACGGTCTCGGCACCAACATCTGAGCTATTTGGGGAAACAAGAATGTGAGGAATGCACTAACATGAGGCTTTGCGCAGTTCCACTCACGACATTCCTTTCCTCACATTAGCAGCCTGAACACTCTCTGCACACTTAAGCCAGACAAAAAAAAGAAGACGGATCCATCTGTGCCCTGCCGGCCCCACAGCCAGTTTTCTAGTTTAAGGGTCGTTATCGGCAGTGTAAGGAAGTCTCCGAGCTGTCAGAAAAACGCCCGCCAAGTCTTTCTGGTATGTTGCCACGCCGCTTTGGCGTTTCACTGGAGATGGCGATCAACAGTTGGTGGCCCGATGAAAGATGTGTGGAACTTGGAATTCTGCTCGTCCTGCAACGATCACGTCAACGATAGATTTGGGAACGATGCCTTTTCTACAAGGGTCTGGGTCTGATCTGTCGGTTGTAAAGCTTCTGCAAATTCAGGGTCACAATTCGACATTTGACATGCCTCGACATAGACACAGCTCACGGTTGGGCGATTTCTCATGCGTGCTGCACCGATTAAAGGAAATGCCGGGGCATTTATCTCCTGCTTTCCAACTGAGCTGATTTTCAGTATTTCCCCAAACACTTTGACAGACTTTTGGACAGTGTGTGTACAAGCTCAACATGTAATATTGTGTTTAATCACCAACAGGAACCTGTTGTACTTCAGCACAGAACTGTTATATTTAGTGACTTCTGTATTCTGAGAAGCTTTAAACACACTGTCGAACTGTGCAGGGAAGCATGGCCGCTTGTTTTTCGTTGCTTTTTAGTCTGTAAAGGATCGTGAAGTTCTTCGCAAAATATATTTTGATTTCTATTCAGCGGGGAAGACTTTACATGTTTTCAATAGAACACTAAGTTCTCCTTAACGCTGCTATTTCATCAGCATTGTGACAGCAGTCTTGGATTGGTGACATCCGAAAGGTCAATTTCTTTTTTTTAATAAATAAAAAAGCTTTAAAAAGCCTGATATCCACTTCCCCACAATATGGAAGCAGAATATCATGGGAATGCTCAAGATTTTAACCTTTAAATGTATGTAAAAAATTTACATATTTACTGGATTACCTGAAATTCCTATATGGATGACGAGCATCAGATACTGGTGTTAAACATACAGCGATGTTGCATGCAAAAAAGATGCTGTGTATTTTATGAGACCTTTGAAATGGAGGACTAATGCATTTTCAAACAGCAAACCCTGTGGATGTATATGAGAACAGTAAAAGAGATTTGGCTCCATACTCGGAAAGTACATTTTCCAAACATAATTTTTGTGCAAAAATTGGACTAAATCATTGGACAATTTGCAAACATAGAGCCACAACAATTTTCACTGCAGTCCAACAGTTTGGTTTGTGTTTTGGGTGCATGTATTTGCACCCACTCAGCAGTCCTTTACGCGTCTATTTTTTATAATGCAGGATGAAAATAGCCTTGATTTCAAGAAATTGATGTGTGGGCTGGAGTAAATTTAAAAAAAGGAGTCTTTGGCAGATTCACTGATTCACAAAAAGATCATCTTCATCTTTTTAAAAGAAAGGCTGTCAGCAGGTGAAAAGAAAAGCTGGCAGCAAGCGTTCAAAAGCTCGTCTGGGGCTGGTAGTTTTTTGTTTTAAACTAAAAAGTGATCAATTGTGACTGGTTGTACTAGAAAGTGGAGCACAGTTTTGGAGATAATAGCATGTTTGGACAGGCTTGGCAGCTGTGAGAGGGATGAAGCTTTTTTAACAGTCACGAATTGGATAGTCGGCAAAGACATTTAAAAAAAAGATGCAAACCAGCCAGTGGCAGAGATTAGAACAAGTCCTACGTAACGGCTCAGACGTAGAGCTGGATTAAGAAATATACAGTATGTGTATACGTTACAGGCTTCCAGGCAGATTTTCTTCAGGGTGTAATATAATTATAGAACAAATACTGCATCACATTTAACTCTTAAGACAATTTCCCATCCCTGGTCCCTGTTCTGAGAGACGGAGGAGTTGGGTCAGACACCTGTAGGAGCTGTACGCTACCTGGATATAAGGAGGTAGAACATTCCCAGGGACATGAGGGAGATCCCGATGTGAAAGCAAACTCCGACCGCCCCGTACTCTTTAAAAACTTTCTTAAGCTGCTGAGCCTTGCTGGGTTTTTCTCCCTCTGGTCCCGGCGCGTCCCCCGGGCCCTTCTCACTGGTCGAGGTAGTCGAGGCCTCTTGAACGTCCTGGACAAGAAAGGAAATGGGAATGAAAGGGAATTCTGTAGATGCGAGACTAATTTTCCTTTCTTCCTATCGCCTCATTAAGCAGCCTCCGCACTGACGCGCACTCAGACCCGCAAACAGAAAAAAATCCACATATACGCTCATTATATAGGGAAACAACAGTGTATTGTCATTGTGGGTCAATAAAGCCCAGACTTTTATGAGCTTCCTCTGTTCGTGGAGACGCTGAGTCAGCTGATTAAACAGACTGCTGCACGTGTGTGTTTTTGGTAATTCACATTACCACCCCCCCCACCCCCCCATTCACATGCTCCTAAAAGGTGTCAGTCACTGCCCACACGCGCACAAAGAGTCCCCTCAGAAGAGCACAAACACACAAATTACTCGCTCTGTGACCTCTTGACAGTTCAGCCCGCCAGACCAACAGGCCCCACACACACACACACACACACACACACACACACACACCAGGCTGCGGCCGCCCCGGCACGAGGCAGGGAGCGGGCCGGTCAATCCGGAGTGCGGGCGTCCAGCGTGTGAGGCGGTGTGCTGAACCCAGATCACCGAGGCACCGCAGCTGGGGATGTTCTGGCGACGGTTTTACCGCACACAGACAAAAAGGCCTGGGGGGAGGCGGAACGGGTCAGACCGGTCCCAGGGAGGGAATGCTCAAGGCCGCCATTAAAGCGGCAGAGCTGAGTAATCCCATTTCTGGGACATGACCTGCTCAGGAGCAGGGAGCACCCGTCTCTCGCCTTACATAAGCTCCCAAAGCCAAAGCATTTTGGGCCAATTTGGAGGGGCCATTTGAATTCCCACCTTTAATAAATTGGAGGCATCTTTTCAGTATGCCATCTCTGAAATGACTGGTGACTTGACCAGTGCATCGACCCCCTTTGATCTAAACCCAAAGCGGAATTAAAAATTCCCACCCGTTCTGAGATTAGGAAACACTGAACGTGACACTAGATTCTCCAGAGCAGCCCCTTTTTCAAACGTCTCCTCTGCCAGGGCGGAACATGATCTTCCTCTGAGAAAACAGGAAATAACTCTGTCTTATTTTTAGTCTAAATATTGACCTTGTGCTGGCGGAGCAGAAACGGCTCTCTCAGTACACAGGACCGGCCTTATTTTGGCCCTTTCCCGACAAAATAACACCAACAGGCTCACCAGGATGGCGGCCAAACGCGAGTCACTTCTTTAGACAAGAGAAAATATCTAGTGGGAGCGTTTTTTTCGTGATTACACTCATTCTTGTGGCCATTGATGGCAGCTCGTGTTTGGCCAGTCGCTGTCCAGCAGACCCGGAACATCCCGCGACTCTTGACTTTTTATTTTCTATTTTTACCCGTTCATTTGAGACCATCAATCCCATCCTATTGGATAATCCAGCTCATGCACAGAAGACTGATTAAACACTTTTCCACTGCATATAAAAGCCAGTCATTCAGGGATCTTTTGACCCTGATATATTTTCATCATGTGACATATTCTTGGGGGGGCAAATTCTGGAAGTTTTCCATGTAAAACATTTGTCTAACAGACCGTAAAATTAATTCAACGCCTCTATCCCTTTTTTTCCACGATGACATTTGATTTACCGACGGCCTCCTTTTGGAGTTAAAAAAATTCATCAAGAGAAGAAGAACGCTGAGGAAGAAAGGAGCTGATCTTTTTTTCTCCTGACAGCAGCTTGTTTTGCCGAGCTTTGGCTCTGGCTGCCGTGATGAAGCCGTGGCCTTTGGGGACGCATTCACTGGGCCGTTCATCAATGGACAATGGGAGAGCCCGGAGTGGACGAGGGAGCGGGGTTTCGCTTTTCAGGGGCAGGACAGGCCAAGGCAGAAGTAATGGCGGGCAGCACTATGGGAGGGTCATGTGAACGAGAAGCAGAAGGGAGTTGTGCCAGGGAGGGTGCATGGGAGGGGGAACAGTGGGACGGCTGTGTCTGATAACAGCTTTTCAGAGCCATGAAAACACATGCAAAGTCACAGCGGAGACAAAGACGCACTCACATGCGCACTGACACACACAGAGCCCGGGGGGGAAACGGTGAAGTGGCCGCTGCCTCCTGAAGGGACACTGACCGCCGTGTGTCGTGGAACAATGGAGTCAGCATAAAACCTGCCGACATGAAAGCACTTCAAGAAGTTTTTATGGGTGCAAAGTGGATGCATTAAACATTTAGAAATGACCATTTACAGTTGGGGCTGCAGACGCACGGAGCCTGAAGGTACCTCAGCCTCTGGCCAGCAAATGCATTATGGGTAGTATTTTTGAAAAATAATATGAGGTTTTAGTTGTACTGCATATTCAAAATTGTATCTCATATTCGAGTGCAGTCTGCCTGACTAATAAAATCAGAAATATGAGCATTAACTTGCTTCTGCTGCAAAGAGAGAATGTTTCATCAAGAGATTTAAGGGGGGAAAAGACTTTTCAAGTCAGGACAGAAGACAAAGTCCTAATTAACTAAATCGTTACGTTAGGAGGGGCTCATGGGCTCATCTGAGGGATCACAGATCCAGATGCTGCAATTGAACATCTGCTCAGTCTGTGTACATGATTCAAATTTGAGAAATTTGAGATAACTATTGGAAACAAAGGTATTTCCATATTGAATGACCTCATGCTTTCATTTGAAGGACAGATAGTTTTAATTTGATTCTATTACATTATCTGACTATTAAAGGCCGTGTAAGACACTGGTAGTTGAGATCCTGGAGCTCGTGGCAGCATGATTTCATAATCATCTTAATCTAAACTGACAAAAACATCAAGCGTCCATTGTTTTCCTCCATATAATCGAGCTGACTGATCTATGGACTGGGCATGCGTTTATGCCACGTATAATATCTATTTTAAGTCCTAAAAAATTATACTCAAGTGACTGCCATTCTTTATAAAAGTTACTTTGAGCCATTACATAATTAATAGACTTATAATGTAAAAATGACATCACAAGAAAACCATTGAATTATTAATCCCTCTAAAGGATTTGCCTGATGCATGATGATACATCATAACTGCTTTCAATCCAATCATGGGTTATTTTTTTGTACATTCATACTTCAATCATTCAAAAATAAGGCTCTAATCAGCCTAAATTAGTGTCTGTTGAGCTGCAATGAACTTCATTTCCATGAGGTGTCATCTCTTGGCTACTTTTACTTCTGAACTGAATGTTAAATAATTGAACAGAGCAGAGAAATGGAGACTTCTCTGAACAGAGTTAACTTGACATCTGTTCAAAACTCAATACGTTGATCAATACCAGTGTTCTCACTGATCAATAATCACTTCACTGATTAAGTTTCAGCCAAGACGTCCAGTGTCCTTCCTCCCTCCATGACAACCACTGGACACGAATAGCGTGTGTACCCAGAAGCTGTTTGCTGTGTGTTGTAACCTGTGTTGACACACCACCAAAAAGCCACGTGCGAGTGAATTTAGTCAGCTGTTGGTGGATTGTGCCTAAGTGACTCACTCTTATTACGACTTTCAACGGACTAACAACTCAGCTTTTTTTTCTTTTCTGGGCCAAGCTTTGACGGCCGTGCGTGAGTCAGTGCGGTGCTGACACGGAGCACACGTGGGGGAGAAAAAAAGTGCACGGTTGTGTAACGAGTCCAAAACAGACAACTGTCGGTACACCAGGCAGTTTTTCTGGCTATTTTCGGCGGGTGGCAGGGCGCACAGATCCGGGTCTGTGCGCAGACGGTTACGCAAAAACTGGAGTTAACAGATTCTCTTTTTACCCCTTTGGTGCTGTCGGTCTGCCCCTCCTCGCCCTTCTTGGCGGCAGCCTGTGTGGACGAAGCTCTGGTCTGCATCACGGTACCGAAGCAACGTCCACTAGGAAGTGCCCGGTCACCTGTAAACAAAACCACCTCCGCAGCGTCTCTGCGGCTGTGGCGCCCGATCTTATCGCGCTGGCCGCCCTCTGGTTGCGCTTTCCGGGGCAGACCCGCGGCCAGGGGGGCCCCCCGGTCCAGGAGCGCCCGCTCTGTGGTTGCAAAACCCACCGACGCGTCCCGGCTCCGGACGGTGTCCGGCTTTGGTCTCCCCAGGTGCGCCCGGCCTGCAGACGCGCAGAGGAACCGGAGCCGGAGCCGGAACGTCTGCCCCCCCACCGCCGGGGCCACGTCCCTCCGACCGAGGGCTTCCACTCGGACCAGAAACGAACCCGGAGACCTGAGAGCCTGATCCAGAGCCGCCGCCGACAGCCTCCCGGAGCGGCACAAAAACATCGTCGACACGGGGCTCCCTCTGGGCGAGCTTCGCGTCTTTGGAAACCCAAAACAAATAAAAAAAAAAAACGATTTAAGTCGTCTAAGAGTTAGTAATTGTGAGAGTAGGTGGTTGTAAACATGCTGTCCTGCAGCCCTCCCGTGTCCCCCCGGCCCTCTTCTTGACCGATTATCGCGCACAGCCAATGAGAGCTGACGCGCAATCGCAGATAGTAAAGGCTGGGGCGGAGAGGGGGGGGGCTCTTTAAAGGTATAACCGAGCTGAGTTACATCATGCAACTCCTCTGAGAAAACGTCAAACCCAGTCCAGGTCGTGTGTCTTAAAGCTGCTTTTGGTCGCTTCAGGTGGATGACTCAGAGAAAAGTTAGAGTTGCTGTTGTTTTTCTTAACGTAATGGAGGCTGACATTTGTTTTGAAGCATCGAGCGGAAGTTTGAAGTCTGTGTTGTTTAATGAAAGCTGGTGATTTAAAAAAAGATTAAAATTACAAGATTAAAATAGAGCATCAGTTACAAATGTGGATATCGTGTCTTTACCATTCAAATGTGCCAGGTGAACCAATAATGAAGAAATGTTCATGCAGAAATGAACATGTAAAATGTCAAATTCCGGCATCTTCATTTAACCAGCTCAAAGCAGAACTACTCTAAAATTTTCAGTTTAGAAAAATCCTGATTTGTTCTTTATTTTTTAGTTATTCATTATTATTATAATGGTTGGTATGGTTTAGATAACACAGACATAATGCAGATATAGCTCTGTTCTGCATTCATATTACAAAGTGCCTCAAACAAGCTAGGGGACAGTTTTATAAAACACCATGAAGTGGAGCAGTAATATACCAATCAGCCCATTAAAGGCACAGTAGAACTTCAAGTGAATTTTTTTTTTAAAGGCTCTCCGGTAAAAGTAGAGTTTAAGAAAGCAGCCTGACTCCTATGCCCTGATTTCTTTGGGTTTTAGAGCTTTGAGCCCAAATGCTGACACCTCTAGCTTTCAGCTCTGCCTCTACTACAGAAAAATATTCCATTTCCTCCTTCATACAAGCCGGCGTGGCACTAAAAGTTTAAGCAGATAACGGGCGAGGGCACAAAGAGCCCAAACAACATTTCTTAGACCTTAGATTACATTTTAAAAGTGTGCCAAGGGTCAGAAAGTAGTGATACGATAGCGTCTGTTGGGCGTGTTTGTGCACACGTAAGTAGATACTACGGCTCAGTGGTTGTAGGAAAGTACAGGAATTAACTCAGCATGTCCGTTCACAGTGTGTGTTGTCCCTAACGCGCGCTGTTAGCTGTTGGTCGTCTGAGGTTTTCGGATGTCATGCTGGAGGGAGATAAGGCTGCAGGGAACACGCCGAGTCAACCGCTCACACAGGCCGAATCTACATTTTGAGGAAGGCCGCGGAAAAAAAACCACTTCTGATTCCCCAGTCTGCTTTTCTCATCCGCGCCTCATTTAGTTAGTTTAGATTTACATGCCCGTGCAGAAATGGACAGAGAAGTCAACCAAAGTCACCACCTGAGGAAGTGGTCAGGCAGCCCGCAGACGCTCAGCCTCACAGATGCTTTATTACTGGAGCACTTCCTCAAATATCCACACCAGAAAATGTTTTTTTTTTTTTTTTGAGACACGTTCACATTTCGGTGGGAAAATAAGAATGCGTGTCAGCCCCCCGTCACCAATTTCAAGGCAGAGAGAAAAGTCAGAGCCAGTAGGAGTGGAGATACGGAGGGCGGGATGTTAGCAGGAAGCCGGCAGTTTGTGGGCAAAGCCGCAGAGTCGGCGTGTGGGCCGAGCTCCTCAGCCACGCAGCGTACGCTATCCTTCACCTTTCAGAAGACTGAGACATGAAGTTTCCAGCGGAGGACAGCAGTGAATGGAAATGTCATATTCTCTGATCTGTTCTAAAGCGAGTTGTGTACTTTTTTCCGTTATCTCCCCCGCAGACATAATGAAACAGATACCCAAGAACTGAACACAAAGTGCCATATTCAAAATAGCAGAGAGGGAAATCCTTGATGACTCCTATAGGTGGTTCGATGGCTTTTTGATGAGAAGGTTTCTAATTAGACTCAGTGAGGTTTCCCGGATATTGTCGTTATTTTTGTGTCACTGCCGCACAGGTTTGTAGGTTCACATCTTGGTGCAGACGTGAGTCCAGACTGAACAGATCGTAATAGACCTCTTCTTGCTGAGGAACTCGACAGTCCCATTTACAAATGAGCAGGCGGACGGTGCCACAAAATCAACATCCATTGAGCTTTAACGAAAATGGAGCTGTTTTAAATTCGTGCTTCAGCAAGTGTTGCACAAAAACTCCAAAGCGTGGCTGGCACTCTTCCAGCCACCGATGGGTTGATGTTGTACCAGACTGCGGCTGTAACGGAGCGTGGCAGAGGCCGTAGTTTGTAATGTTTAACAGCATTAGATGCACGTAGCGCTCTGATTGCTCACTTTTGGGCTATTCAAACACTGGCTCAGACTCATTTCTTGCCTCATAAAGTACCAAATCAGCTCTGTGCCAGCTTTGACCTCCAAGTTGCTGTAACTTTCGCTTTATTTCTGAATAGTGTTTGTGTCTGGAACAGTCAGACGGCGTCCTGAGCTGTCTGGTACCGGTGCCAGAACCTTAGCCACAGGTAGCCGGATGGAGATTTTTGTTCAAAAAGATCTCATCACATTTGGTGTCTGGGAATTTGGAAGAAGAGCGAGCATCTTTAGGCTCTTTGTCTTATTCTTTTGAGCCCGTATCAAGCAGCCTCTCTCGACTCCACTGCTGTGGTGAAATGAGACTGGAGTGACCGGTCTGCAAAAACACTGACCCAGTTACAAGATCCTTCCATTGTAACTAGACCAGTGTGTTTTTTAAATTCTTTTTAATCTGTTTATTTAATTTTTTGTTTTGTGTGGCTGCTGATTGGTGCGGATGATCGTTTATGGCTAAAATCAGAACCAGAAACTAGACGTTCAGGTCCAGTCAAACAGATCTGGTTACTTTTGGACACAAAATTGCATCGGTTTAAAATAGAATGGAACGCTGGGAAATTCTCTGGAAAATGGGGCCTAAAAGCACCGCAAGTCACAGCAGGTACACATGGTTCATCTAATGTCCACCATCTTACTTTAGCATGGTAGCATGTTGTGTATTTGAACTAGGTTTACAGTGTTCTGTTCACAAGTGTTTCAGCTGTGCCTGACTGGATGAACAAGCTGTATAAGGAGCTTAGCATCGACGCTTAAAGTGGAAAAATAGTAGTAGTCAAATGACAGCATCCACGGTAACCTCCAGCCCTTCGCCAGACAGAGAAATGGTCGCTCCAAAATAAACAGAGAAAAGCAGGCGCTCTGCCTCACTGAGCCGTCCCTCCATTCATTCTTTGTGCAGCTTTTCCGCTCATCTCCTAACAAACCGGTTGCGTATCAGAGGCCTGGTCCCGGAGCAGGTCCTGTCCTTTCCTATTCTTCCCTCATCGTCGTCGGCGTGGTCAGTATGTCATCACTTCCTTTCCCTTCATCGTGCGCCCCACTGCGACGGCTTGTCGGTGCCTCGGCGCCTTTCATTAAAGAAGCCCAGAGGGCCGTCAGCATCTGAATGCTGCGACTGGATCTGATCCACTTTGCCCTTCTGTGAAGAGTACTGAAGGACTGGGCCCGGAGCCAGCTGGCCTGCTGTCAGTAAGGCTGAGGCACAATGGCAGAGACGGGCAGCGCGGACGAGGTTAATGCAGCTCAGGCCATGTGTCTTCAGCACCATTCGTCTATGTCAATACGCCTCCAATCACCAGCTGTGTGCGGAGGGAGCTTTGAATGAATGGCTTCTCTGTACGCTCGTTCAAGACAAATCAAGAACCGTAAGCTAATGTAAACATTTGAGAGATTTGTGTTTATATTACTTTTTTTTCTTTCTGTTTAATGATCTTGTGACAAACCGTGATAGGCAACATGCTAGGGTGCCAACACTGACTGGAAATAGCACAGAGAGGGCAAATAAAGTGAGAAATATGAAATAAAGATACCCTTAAATATACCTAATCTGCTCTCTTCACCCTTCTAAGATAGTCGGGCAGCAGAATCTGAAAGTAGGTTTACCCCTGCTTAAACGGACGATGGCTAGATTGATCAACAAAAAGAAAGGAAATGATTGAGGGGAGCGGCCGGGCTGGGATCCCGACAGCTGTGTGATGAATGGTAGAAGTACTTCCTAGCAGCGGCACCTAATCTTAATTAAAACCGGAGGAAGACCAAAGGAACTGACAGGACATCTTTACTCATTCAGACGCCATCTTAAATTCTCAAAATATACAATTTATTCAAAATATGTTAATGCAACCATCAATATGTTCCAGTAATTACAAAATCAGTAGTTCGTCCTCTTTATCACATGATCCCTTTAGACAAAAAGGCTTGCCGTCTACAGGGATGAGATCGTACGAGAACACAGGTTCGTTTTAACAGGCGACTGTCCCCCTTCTGACTCACACCAACCAGGGCGTAGTTTGACATTTTTCCACACCAATTGATGATTTCATTCATCACGAGTTTAAACTTTGACGTCTTTGACGTTTGAGTTTTCAGCAGACGCAAATGTACTAAAAGCAGATGTCTTTGCTCATTCAAAAACTCATTCATTTCTATTAAAGGGACAATATTTGAATTCATTTGGACTTTCTTTAAATTACTTTTAAATAAAAACTGCTGCTTTCACTGCTTGCGGTCAGGCAGGGAAGCCAATGTAAAATATTCATTAGTTTTCCTTGACTTCTGATTAGCTGTTTGCCTCTTTTTAGAACCGATCGGTGCACACAGCGTTAATCGGTACAATTGAATGTATTTTCTTAAATGTTCCTGGACAGCAACAACACACACGTGTAAATGTAAATTGTAAGAACATATCAGGGGGTACTAATACAAACATATTTACAAACCAATCTGTACAAATATTTAACACTGTACAGTCTATGTCAGGGGATAAAGTGGGGCAGAATGGGGCATTATGGGTCATCAGTTTGTTAAATCTCTTCAATGGCAAAGACAGTCTTCCCTGAACTTTCTGAACTCTCTTTTTTTATCTCCTGAAAGACTCTTTGGCACTCACATGATCAGAGGAGCTGTTGGATTTAAGGAATAGTCCAACATGAACCCGTTTTCTCTCTGAGATTAAACGGGTTGGTGCTATTCTCGTGCTCGTTCCCTACTGAGCCACAGTCAGCAGCTGGCCATCTTACTTTAGCGTAGCAACCGGAAAGGAATTTGGGAAACTTTTGCAGAGTGGCGTTTCATGACATCATTAATATCCCAGTAGTCAATAGGCGAGAGGTGGGCTACACCTTGGACGATCCGCCAGTCCATCGTACGGCCTCATTAATATCTATAAAATGCAGATAAAGACATTTTGGCATGGCTGAGCACAAAGCTGACATGTGTAATGTAAAGCTTTTCTCTTTTCTTTTTTACATCAGTGAAAGAAAACGCACTGTGATTAAAAGATTCAAGGGACTGGGTTTGTAATCTGGATCCAATCAGGGTTTTTGATGTTTTGCCTTTGTTTCTCAACTGAATAAAATAAATTAAAAATATATATTTTTTAAAGAGTGGAAAGATGGGTAGAGCGTGGAAAAACAGTGTTGGATTTGTGAAAAAAAACAACTTTTTTTTGATTGTCCGTGCTCTGCGCTTTGGCTTTTCCTTTTTAAGTGGATTCATGCTCACAGTTGGCTAATCTGGATCCAACACCCGTCGGTGTTCAGGTCACAGTAATCGGAGGGTAATCTGACAGCAGACAGATGAGGTCCATGACAACATTCGGCACTAGTGCCCTGACTTGACAAATAACATTTCGGAATAGTTTTGCCTTGCTATTTTTGGCTAAATAAAAAAATAATAATAATAAATTAGCACTGTGGTTGCAGCTGCTGACTGTACCTGCTTGTTTATGCCGGTCATTTTCTAAAGGTAACTATAACTGTTTCATAATTGTTTAACACTTCCTTTAATTGAGTTGTTTTTACATTGGAAACTATGTACAAGTGTGCCCTTTAATGTCATGATGCATTAAAGGACATCTGATATGGGTGGACAGTATGGGCCTGCTACATCCTCCTTCCATCTACTAAAAGTTGTTTAAAAAACAGGCAATAAGGAAGTTGGTTTGCATCCTCTGTAACCACATTCACGAGACAAAAATTTACAGTTTCTGTTAATAACACAAATACTGTGAGTGGGAGAAGCGAGAGCCACACAATGGCCACCGGGGACAAAACAAAACAAACAACATTGTTATTTGTAATGACACAAAAATGAATGAATGGCTTGTATTAACATTTAGACACATAATACACTAACTACTCAATTGATTTTTTTTTCTATGTCAGAAGGTGCTTTTGCTGGAACAGTTCCTGCTCCAGCTCATCTCATACTACACTCACACTCTTCACACAGCATCCAAATAATAAATACTCAAAGTTAGAAACCAGGATTTTTGTTTTTACACATTAATGTCGATAAATAACAAAATGTACAGAAAGTACTTGCTTAAATTACCTCTACGAGCGAGCACAAAGGGGATTACACAAAATGTCAGTTTAGGTCTGATATGAGAGGACGGTGTGGTGAAGGATGGCCGACAGAATACAGTAAGTTTTGTAGCTGAAACACAAGTGCAGTTCTTTGTCCTTTCCCCAGGATCTCTCCTCCCCCCTGTAGGAGTACGCCTCTTAAGCTAAGCACTGTTTTTTTTAGCATCCCTTTAGATTTACAGGGGGATCTTACACGAACAGACTTTGACAGTGTTGAATTCTTGCTACATTTTGTTGCTCCTCCCGTGTTGTGGGAATGTCCAAAAGCAGAGCCTCGTATCTGGACAACAGTGCGAGTTTGTCCCCGAGGAATTCCTTCTCAAAGATCTGATAAACGATCTGCTTTTGAAAATCACCATGTAAAGCGTTCTCTTCCCTTGCTGAAAATCTCGACCCTGTAAAAAGGTAAAAAGTCTCAAACAACTTGTCTCTTTGATTCTCACGTAGCGAGGCCACAGAAAAGACTTCTTCCCTTAACCCATTTGGCTCATCCTCTTTAAACCACTAAGTATAGGGACACTATCCAAGTGATGTCGGCAGAAATCAATGACGGACTTAACAGCCGCTCTCCTTATCTCTTCTACACTTGACCGGTGCCTGTGCGTGGGGAGAGAGGTCTCCTAATAGAGGCTGACTCGTTTGACGCAGGGGTCCAAGGAGAAGTTTTCGCGCCCCCCCTCCCACGACAACTCTGGACAAAGTTTAAAGTGGGGGACGAACAGGATGCTAAAGACAGGAATACTTCCCATTTCCTTCCTTCCTCCCTTGTGCAGCGCATTCCATCCTGCCGTGGCCCGCATGCTAAGACACACAGCAGCAGGTCCGCGACTTTGGCTGCTCCTCCTCCACGGGCTGCTTCAGCTTCAGCAGGGGCGGGTCGCCGCTGGCGGGGGTGTAGTAAACTGCGTTGCCATTGGAGGAGACCAGAGGCATCCGAGGATCCTCGGAGTTGGTTTTGGCATCGGTGAAGGAGTCCGTGGAGCCGTTGCCAAGGTGACCGTTGAACAAGGGGTGATTCAACAGCTTGGCGGCAGCCCTCTGCTTCTTCAACTCCGACAGAGTCTGGGGGCGCTCCTTTGGCAAGGCCTCCTCCGGGGCAGGCTGAGCGGTGACCACCCCCGCCTTGCTGACCGACGGCGCGCTGCCGTTGGAGGGAGGCTGAGACGGCGTGGACGTCGTGGTGATGATGAGACCGTTTTGTTTGCCGCTGCCATCTTTGAGGATGGTAGGGAGCTTGGACTTGTCTGGCAGCTCCACAGCTACGACTGGCTTCACCTGGAGGACACCAACAAGATTAAGTTACTCATTTGTAAGAGTGGCCTCTCGGAAGAATCAGAGGAACATCATATATTTTGGTTCTGGTTGTTGCAGATGAAAGATTTGATATTGGTCACATATTCAAATACGATTCAGGTCGCACTGGACTCTTCATGTTCTTGTTGTTTTATCAAGTTAGAGAAGAAACTGAATTTTAGATCAGGCTCTCAGGTCATTGTATCTTAACTGTGACTTTTGGGACACCTTATCCTGGAGACCACAGAAAGCTGGGAGACTCAGCTCTGTTCAGTCTATTCTGAGGTCAGAAACCACCTGTCACTGACAGGGAAACATTTCCACCACACCATCAAGCTGAAATTAAATTGCTTTCCTCATTAAAGAGAGCATCACCCCAAACAAACTTCGGAAAGTTAACTTTCTGTTGAAGACGCAGGTGGCAGCTAAATAATTTCAGGGTAAACACTTCTGCTACTTCTCTGACAGTTTCCATATAACCTGCTGAGAGCGGCCATTAGTCTGACGCCGTGTGAGTTTACAGCAGCCTCTTTCCACTGTGTGGTTGCTGCGCAGTGTTGGGAGGAGTCTTTGTTCTTTAGCTCTGAGACACCAACACCCAGCCTCATATTTCCCAGAAAACCAATCTGACCACAGAACCAACTTCTACTTGTAAAAAAGTGGTATATGAGGATCTTACATGAACCACCTTAATATTCTCCTGATCAGGTTCCTTCTCTTTGTCCACATCCTCCTCTCTGCCGCCCCTCCAAACGATGGCCTCGGTCTCGTACTCTTTGCGACACAAGTTGTGCCTGTCCGACAGACTGGCTCGCCGCACCACTTTTCTGTGGACACAGAGTTCCCAGCAAGATCAGGACATGTTTGTTATCGGAGCTTTGAGTGCATGGAAAACATGTTTGATTCAAATGCTGCCTTCCTCTGATCATTTGTTGATCAGCTTCAAAGGGAAAAGCTCAGAAAGTGGCGTTGTAGTAGCCTGGACGGTACCAGCAGGGGTCAGCACTCACCCACGGCTGCCTGCGCTGGACGTCCGCCTGCACAGCGAGGTCTTGTGTTTGAGCTGCGACTTCATGATGGTCTCGTGTTTGTGTTTCAGGTCAAGGAGGATGGCTCTGAACTCCTCGTCCTCACACAGATCTTAAACGGACACAAAAGGGAAGATGTGGATCTTCTCATGAAAAACTCTGAATGCTGCTTCACTTCTCTCTGAGCTTCTAATGGTGTTACTGTTCATCTCCTTTTTTCATCCTTTTTTTAAATCTCTATCAATGATTGCTAGTTAAAAAGACCTTTACAAAAAACTGTGGACCAGCTCATAGTGGGAAATATAATATATATATAAATACTGACCAAGGAAGGTAGAAATGCGACTGCTGAGAAGATTTTTCTCCCCCCCACTCCCCCCCTTTACCAGCTAACATTTTGGATAAGATCATGCTGAGCTAGAACTGTACCGATGGGAGTCTCTTCTATGATGGTCTTGGCATTGAGACTGGCTCCATGTGACACCAGCAGCTCTGCCACCTGCATCTGAGACAACAACAGTGGCAAACGGCATTGATGGTTAGAAGGACCCACGCCGGCTCTTATCTGTTTCACGTTACCCGTTGCGTTTGGCTTACCTGACCCCAGCAGGCCGCCGCATGGAGAGGCTGCCATCCATCTGAGTCCCTCAGGTCCATGCGCGCCCCCCCCTCCAGCAGCAGCTCTGCAGCCTGCACGTAGCCGTTCGCTGACGCAATGTGAAGCTGCACACAAAAGGGAGGGAGGCCCATTGAGTTTGTAGGGTTGAAAACTGCCATTTCCCTGGAAAATGATTTGGCTTTTGACTCGGGCACTTAATGTAGCAAAAAAAAAAAATCACATCCGCTGGATGTTCAGTTATTCGGAAGTCGGACATGTCTGTCTAACCGGGAACCTTTAAACTTGTCGTGCTGGAGCTATAATATGAAGGGGCTCTGCCATCAGTGCAGGTTGAAGTGCTGAGCTCTGCCCGAGCGGCCGACATGGTCCTGATATATCAGAGAACATTTCTAGAGGACTGAGAGCTGTGAGGAGCGGACTGCACTCTTTCTATAGTTTCTTTAATATTGGGATATTCATTCTAGTCCCAGCTACATGGGGACTTGGCTGTAGGCAGTGTATATTCAAAGCATACTGCCACAAACTCTTCTCATGTGCAGCTATTTTAGAAGCTTCCAAAGGAAAGTCTGGTGTTTTTCAGGAATCCAAGATAAAAACTGTGATCACTAGTGAGTATATTTGTTCAATTCTATCTGTTATAGGTAGACCTCTCAAGATTTCATGTAAAAACTGACCCACATAAATGGCAAAAAAAAAAAAAAAGGTTTTGACATTAGAGATGTAGCCACATCTGACCCCAAACTAAATACAATGTTTTACTAAACCGCCAATGGCTCAAATATAGTTGATGCAGTTTCTACACGGGGTCAAAGCAAGACATCTGTGTCAACATCAGAGACAACATCTCAGAACTATTAATACAGCTGCCACAGTTCCCAAAAAAGTGCTCTCATTTCTCAAAATGAACCAAATCAAACTGAACCGTTCTGTTTAGAAATGTATAAGCTTTGAATCACATCACTCACCTAGTACCAAATCCACTTATAAGAGAGAGACCCACACTCCCAGAGCTGTATTAACTTAATATCTTTACCTGAGTCACTCTGAGTCTTCTACCATTTTTAATAATATCTCATCTCAGGCCTAGACCCAACTCCACTTTCTGTTCCGCTGCAGCGTCACGTGGGCAGGTGTACATCATCGCAGTGCTGTGTGAGGCTGTGGTGACAGACACTAAACCTCTGTGTGTGTTTGTATATAAAGTGGTCACAGCACTGTTTGAGTTGGCCAGAGGCTCTGTGTACAAAAGTGTTTTCAATGTGAGCCATTCAGCTCTCCTCCTGTCAGTGTAGGGGGGGGGGGGGAAACATCTGTAGTCTTTGTTTAGAAACTGTGCCTCTGGATTCTCAATTCAGAGATATGCATATACTAACTATGCACACAGATGGGAAATTCCTGTCTTAATATTTTCATTTAGTTTTGCCATCCCTGATGACAGATCCAAACACACTCCTCCCTCAGAGAACATGGAAATGAGCAGAAAAAGATTTAAGCCCGGCTGCAGAGACACCCACAGCTAGGGCATATCTGAGCAACCGGTTTCCCGGGTGTTGACAATTTACTGTTTAATCTAGCTTAGCTCACTTGGAACCAAAGCATGGGGAGCACCTGCCTGGTGCCTACCTGGTGCCTACTATGAAGAAAAAAAGGAAACAAGTCAGTTGATTAACACCATATACAGGGAAGAGCCGTGAGAAGTATGTAAAGAATGTTGAGGTCACTCAGGTTGTGAAGGCCTGATCTGTGTCTGCTTTTAGGCTCCCCTCTGATGCAACTGAGACCCTCTGCTGTAAGGCAACAGCTACAGGTCTGCAGAAATAAACCTTTGTCTACTCTTTTTTTAGGCTCAGAAAAGCTGATCAGATTTAGTTTCCTCAACTCTGACCTAAAAAGACAAAAGGTAAATAAGGAATACAGGAAACTGCAAATATGTATGTGGGCTGATGCTGAACTTGATGGTAACCTCAAACAGGTATGAAACAGATACTCTCCACTTCACCATAACAGTCAAATGACAATAAAATGGTTGAACTTCACAGCTGAAACCATCCTTATCTCAGCCCATTTTGAAGTATTTGTTTAGTTCTTACAGAATTAGTTTATTCTACCAGACAGTATTTATCATTTAGGATGTAAAACATTGCCCAAAAAAAGTGTCAATAACAGAGGTCTCCATCAGTTTTTTTATATTATTGATCACTTTCTTTGTAATAATTTACTTTGTAACCTTTTTACGAGGTATCATCACAACATTTTTCTCACATCCTCTTGCGATTTGAGTCTTCCTTTTTTATTTAATTCAGACTATGTGGAGCCACAAAAATAATTTCTACTGCACATCAAAACAAGGACACAAAATGTACTGCTTTTTTTTCCCTTTTTTTTTTTTAAACCTACATCTTACATAACCTCCCTACCAGTTCCAGGTCTTTTCCTCTCTTCTATGCCAATGATTTTAATAAGGCATGCTCCAGTTTGCTTCATCATGCTTGAATGAAGATTAACAAAACGCATAAAGCAAAGGGACAAGCAGCTCAATCAGACAATTTGTAGTGAGACTTTAAAGCTTAACAGGGTTATTTTGGGACTGTACCATCCTGAAGCTGTTTTCATCAGCGACCTGTCACCGCTTCCTCCGGTGTAACCAAATCCCTGATATATGTTTAAAAAAATGCCATTAGGGTCTCTGAGATCAGACAGCCTTCTCAGAACATGATGTGTGTGTTTGTGTGTGTGAAATCTAAATGCATCACAGCACTGAACTGCAACTTAAAAAAAGTTTAGTGACCAGTTTATCTAGTTCACCCCATAGCTGATACCAAATACATGATTTTTGCATTTCCAGCAAAGGGAAATTAAGCCAATCCTAGTTTTTCTTCTTATGCCGGCTTCAGCTCAGTTGTGTAAAACTTTTAAAGGTGAGTTTTAAGTTGAATTTGTAAGATTTGGCCCACACAGCCAGACAAATTGGACATCATACTTTTCATTACACTTTTAGAAGGACAGTTGTTATCACTGCTAAAGGACAGCTGAAATCAAGTGGCTGTTTAAACTGTGTGAACAGGGCTAAGAAAGATTTGTGCTAATGATGCGTATAGCTCCACAGCCTTTTAAATCATACAGCCGATTTGACTTTAAGAAGACTTTAATGAATCTCCACAGTAGTGGCAGATTAGCTTGGAGGGCTTTACTGCCTCATGAGACACTACTCAGAGAACATTATCTTTAAAGTCTGGATCCAATATAAAGATGGTACAGTGACTATTTACAGATATTAATTCAAATTTTTTTTGTTCTTTCATGCACTTCTTTGTGGAGGTGTGCGTGTGTCTGCAGCATGTCTCCCTGAAATCTTTTTAAAGAGCTATGTGAGCATTACTTGGCATGTTCTCTGCATTTTGTGAGGTTTGGTTTCATATTTGCAGTGGCAACAAAGACTTGAGGTTTGATCATATTTTTTTGGCACAGATAAGTAAAACTTCCACCAAATCCGGTTTATTCCTAAATTAATCAAATGCAAATGTACTGTTGGCATGCTCATTCGGTGCAGTAGCGAAAATTTGGGCTGCTCATGGCCGGCTTCGGACGGAGCTGATGGATGCTCAGGTACTGCTGCAAATATTTACATTAATGCCTCACAGACCTCAATGCAGACTGTGTGAAAAAATGTTTAATTTGTTTATTTTGATTGAGAATTTTTGGAGTATTTTTTAAAAAGTATTTTACACCTATAAACTGATCAAAGAATTGGACTGATGTTGACAAAAGCCTGAATCCAGCTGGGAGGCCACTAACTGAATGTGCCTGTTTTAGGCTCCTATGAGAAAAAGAAAATCTAAAAGCCTCGGGAGGAGAAACTGAAGAGGGAGTCCATTTCCACGGTTGAGTGAAACGTAGAAACATTAACATGTCATCAAGCTACAATAGCATGGCTGCCACAGAGGGGAAATTCAGGCTTCGGTCAGCCGAGCCTGCAGAGTTTCTAGTGTTGTGAAGAGTAGCAATCCACACAGACAAACTGAACTTCACCCTTTACCACTCTGAAACGAAACATCAGAGGCTGTGATGAAAAAAGCAGCGCCCAAAATAAAAGCTCCTGCCTCCAGCTTATTAACCACATTAAGTTTTCAGTATTTATGTTTGACACTGATCAGCTAAAGGTGACCGCATCAGCGTTATTAACATATGTCTCTTTTTATGCATTTGCCTTTTTCATTTAACAAAAATCTGATTTTTTTTTTTTAAGCTGAAGTTAAGAGAAGACTGAAGCAGCTCCTCACCAGTGTGGCTCCCTGAGAGTCCTGCTGGTTGACCTCCTCTCCTTGTCTCAGCAGGTCCTGAATGTCTCCCAGCATCCTCCTCTCGGTGGAGGCTCGCGTCTCGTTGATCATCTCCTGGGTGATGCCTGGTTAACATGAGAGCAGAGTCACCATTAATCAGCCAGCCTTAATGCATAGCTGCAGAACCCCGATATGGACAGAGACCTTTTGGGTTTGTTGAGGCTGGGAAACAATACAATGGTGTTGACTGATGGATACACATTTTTTAAAATGTGTACTGGAGGTTTTCTATGAGAAGTGATTTATGGTGCGTCTGGGGGGAAAAGCTGAAGTGAGGGAAACAGGCTACTTTTTTATATATTGCAGTGGTTTTACAATAGCTGCAAGAAAGGAGTCAGACTTTTGTGCACCAAAACAAATTTGGACATTGCTTCTATCCAGGACTGATTATTTTCGACACAGATTTTTATGTCTGGGTGTTGAAGTGGTTTTACACTCAAGGCAGCTTGGCCCAGTTTGAGCCCAGGTGATTCTAAGTGTCACTGACACTCTAAATTCCTCCTTTAATCCATCATCCTGCTGCCAGGTAAGATTCAATACACTAGCCACCACATTTCACTGAACAGCCCTGCGGTAATTTGCTGGGCTGTCCAACAAATTGGAAGAAACTCCATTTCGCAACAGTGAAAGTGGCCCCTCAGTCACAACTGCGCTGCTTTATTTAAACAAATGGAGATGGTAAATATAGGTTACATTTTCATGGGAATAAAAGCACTGGGTAGTCAAAATAGTTCCTCATTTAACCCAAACGTGGAATATAGTCCCAGAATCTGTCACTCTTACCTGAAATGAATGGTGGGAGTAGACAGGCATCACCTGACTGTGCATATTTTATTGACACGATTTAACCTTGCAACCTTTCTCACACCGCTAGAAGATAAATCCATTTACTCAGCCAGTGCCCCAGCGTCCAGCCCAACCTTTTCAGTCAAACCTCTGCTTCAGCTTCGCACTCTTGTCTGCTCGCAAGAGCAAGTCTGTCATTGCACTGAAGGTTGCACTGAATTTCCCATCAGGGCCGGTGGGTTTTAAAGAGTGAAGGATTCATGACCTTTTTCTCAACTGCATGCATCCCCTGCTTCTGTGTTTTTTTCCCCCCATTTTTTTAAGTTTCTGTTGGTCTGTGTGCAGCACTCCCTCAGGTACTGATATCACAAACGCTGCTTGTGTCTGTGACTCGGCACTGATGGCCATAACTTGAAAATGAGATTCTAAATTATAGACTATACCACAACATTCCTGGTCAAATTGCATGAAATGTCACATGAGTCGCCACAAAGGAGCCATTCTTTTTCCAGGGACTGATAAAGCACACACAGTCTGTGGAACAACACAGGTGTGTAATTCTTAATAGGCAGAGGCCGTCTTATCAGACTCCAAGTCTGACATGAATCGTGTTTTTAGTCCGAGTTCAACCCTTTCCTGCGATGATGATATTTTGACCACTGAGATCAGTGGCGACTATAAAGTTGGGGCGAAAAGTTCCGCTGAATGGAGAGCATCAATTCTCTGAGCCCTCTGGACTTCAGTATTTAATGCATAAGATGGTGAGAATTCCAGTATTGTTTGGGTGCAGCTGACTGACAGATGACCAGATATCATTGTCATTTAGCAGACGATTTTTATTTCCTCACTTTTAGTCTCTAAAAGTCCATGTTTTCCTTTTCCAAAAGCCGACATTTTACTCTTTTCGCTTTAATCAGTTTCAACAGAGTGCTCACAAATCTCTTCACACAAAACTGAAACAGCGAGGAGCAAATCGTCGATGCCTTAAATTTACTGAAGTGAGAGAGCGCAAGACAGTTTGCATTTCTAGAGAAAACGAAACAAAACTAAATGTAAAAAATAAATAAACGTTTTCACCGACTCGTGAAGTTTCCTTTAACTGGAAAAGACGTTTTTCTGGCTCATCTCATTTACTGGCCTATTTCACGCTCAAATTCCAGGTAGAAAGATCTTCTTTCACTGCAGATTATCCCACATGAAGCTGGCTCCACAGGGGGGATCAGGGGAGAGACAGATCAGTGAATGCTGCATCTTGTGTGCCTTTCCCCACATCGTCACTGGAGAGAGAAGTTTTACTCCCCCCTCCTTCCCCCGCCACTACATTACCAGAGCAATTAGCAGCGCTGTGCTCCTTTGATCATCTTAATAATCATTCTTCTCACCTACTGCACTGCTGTCTGTATTCTGCAGCTACAGTGATCCTATTGTAAATCTAGAACCGCATTTTTGAGTACGCATTTCCCCTCTCCAAGACCCCGCTCTGAATGCATTTGGAATACTGGCTCACATCCAGGATCCGACCCACACAGCATGGTGTCACGCGCCCAATTTGTACAGTTAAAACTAAATCAAAGTCATTAACTCTGCACTTGTTTACAGTGCAGTGGTTATCATAGCCGGGCTCATCCGACATTTAATTATCCGGGGAAAATTCCTCTGAACACCCGTGAAGCTCCAGCACCGCCCCACCTCCACACAGGCATCTGCTGTTTACCATAAACCGACCCACTCATGCATCGGCAAATTGTGGGATGCTAACGGGTAGCGAGTACCTCCTGAAACATGCACAGAGGCTCAGTCTGCAACAAACTACACAGTCGCTCATGTAAAAATGAATAAACAACCAAGCTTTGATTGCCAGTGCATTTTTGTCTTTGGGAAAAGTCTGTCTACAGCAGAAGCAGAGGAAGCAGTGGCAAAATCCAAACACATTTTGCTGCTTCCAGAGAGTTGAGATATCCCTTTAAACCAACCAATGAACACTGCTCTCAAAAGGCTGAAAACCCCTGGCAGAGAGACTTTACTGCTTTTTGCTGCCAGATGTGTGTAAACTCCCCAGACTGCACAAATGTACCTGACGGTACAAAACTTCAACAAGCCACATCTTCAAAAGTTTGATTTTACGCCAAGTTAAACACAACTGTCATCACTGTTCTCGCATTTCAAACACACTTCCTTCCTTTGTTGCTGATGTTCACTTTGTACATCAGAACTGGTTTTGAACTCCGTTTCCTTCGAATCCCTCATACAAGCTGAGGCTGTTACTGTGGCCCAGCTTGGGTTAAACGGTATCCTAGCCTGCATCCTTTGGGTAGAATGAATGAACTGTAAACATCTCAGAGCTATCCAAAGTGTTGACCTTAAATCTGTCAGAGACATTAAGCGCTGTCAGAGGTCTTCTTCGGCTCTCTGCTCTCTAGCCAACAGCCTCAAGCTGCTAAGTTCAACAAGATGCTGACTGCTTCCTGCTCTCTTGAGCTCTATTTTGGACTGTAATAAAATCACGACATAAAAATGAGAAGCTGACACTTATAATGAGTAATTATAAGTTGTCTACTTTGAAATACAATATAGATAATTGGAACTTTTTAGCACACTGTCTGATGTATGAGAGAAGCACCGTTGCCTTCTTGACTTATTACTCCCCTAAATCTCTCATTTCCACACTAATTGCTGTTTTCCTTGTACTGGCACATACTTGTACTTGTTTTGACATGTATTTTATATTAGAACTTACGACAGAAACTTGACCTGCCACAAAAAAACATTACTCAGCTTTAAACGTTGAGTAAAGTTGAGCAAAGCTGGGCAAAGCTGTTGCGCCTTGTAGCAGCTTTGGTTTCTGGTGCTAACGTGGATTGTTCTTTGCTGGAAGAAAGTCCCGTATCGAGACAATACACCCATCCACTCATTTAAACCGCAGAGCAAAGCCTAAAATAAACACAAAATGAGCCCATGACGGTGACCGGGCCTCTGCACTCCCATGAGACTATCCAGGCAGAAAATCCACAGTGTCCTCCACTGCAGCTGTGGTGCCAGACAGCACACATCAGTAGCGCTCGTCTGGCACAATTCAGTTTTTCTAAATGAAGCTACTCCATGAGAGTGTTTTAATCCAATCTGCAGGGAAATAAAGTATCTTATTTAGTTATTTAGGGAAGGTGAATTACAGGGGGGCACTTTTTTTTTCGGCAAAGGCTGCTTTTATTTACTTCGGTTTTAAATCAGCTGCCTGTTGTCTAAAAAAAGATAATGGTTAGTGTTTGGATCATACACCCTCATCACACTGTCAGTAAGCCTTTTTTTAATGGTTAGCAGGTAAAAAAAGGAGTATGAACCCTTAACTTATGAGTTGGACTTCATTGACTTTGATTCATGTGCACCAATTTTGGGTTTGTTTACTTCAATTAAACAATTAAATGCAATACCACAGCACTTTCTGCAACCATTCCAAACATCACTGTAATGTCATCTCACTTATTCCGTGTAATCATCTGCAGGCACTGCGAACCAAAGAAACTAATTCTTAAAAGAGTCAAACAACTCTATCCACCGGCCCGACCGTCGGCGGCCAGTCTTCTATTTAAACTTGGATACTCTACCTCTGTTGGCCATGGCAGTTTCTATGATGTCCAGTGTCGGGTCATCCTCACACAGGTCATAGGGCATGTTCCCGTCAGAGTTGACTGCCAGCAGATCTGCACCACTGTGACAAGCAGATGAATAATTAAGTAAGTATGTAATATTCATTTCCAAAGGTTAATAAATTCCCTAAATGTACAATATCAGTGTGCAGACCACATGGATAAAAGTGTTTAATGCATAATACATGGCTTAAAATGGCTGGAAAAAGACATTAATCATCATATTCAAAGAGGCCTGAGCAGCTGTAAGACAAGAAAGGAATTGTAAACTGCTGATGTAAACCCCGAGCTTCTGACAGCAATGACAAAATAAATCAAAGGACCATTAATCGATGAGGCCAATGGAATTCTCTCCATTAGTTAGGTTTACTTTCAGTTGCTTTTATTTATAATTTCAGTTAAGTTCATGTGTCCAAGTAAAAGTCCCGTTCATCAACAGACGGCAGAAATGAAGTCTGTGTTGGTCCAACCTGTAACATCGCACACACACACATCATGTTCATTTGTCTACAATGAGTTTAAGAATGGGTATGTGTTTTGCGATTATATCATCATTAGGATGCCATTGAAACTTAATAAAATAGAATTAAATACTAATTGAAATCTGTCACAACGTGTGAGTTGTATTAATCCTGCATATTTGGACTCGGGTCAGTGTAACAGGAACATTTGCATAATAGAGATGTATGATAAACCAATCGGTTCCATTTGTTCATCACCTATCCAAAGACCACAGATTTATTTATTTTATTTATTTCAAATTTAGTTCTAACACTTTCTCTTCTGGATAAATGGAGGATATATGCATTCACACCATTTTCCAGTCCTTTTTTCAAAGTTTATCTATCCTTTACAATGTTCTATGATTTTGACTCATTTTTTCAACATACGACAGCAATTTTCTAAACAGCTTGGTGTTTTATAATCTATTTTTGCAGCTCCAGGTTAAATCAGATTTTGGAGAAAATCCTATTTTAGACTGGTACATTTGAGTATTTGTCATCTTGATGGCAATAGGGTCTCTGTTATTACATCATGCGGTCAGAGGGCGGACAGCTCTTAACCAGTACAATTCAGTTCTGCACCTCCTCATCTAAATGTAACTGGTTCATTTTCATTTGTGCATATTTATGACATTACTGATTCACATTGCATGAGATTAGTGCCACCAACATCACTCCAACCCTCAGCCCAGATGTTTCTACAGATGTTCTGGAGAAGCAGCATAGAAAAATGAAGACGGCCTCAACATTCACTCTGAACTTATTTCATAATTGTCCAGCCAGCTGGAAAAAAGTAGAAATTAATCTTCCAAACTACTTATTGAGGGAGAGTCTGTGTGGTTGTAACAGTTGTGCTGACACGTACACTGCTTTCCACCAGCTCAGCATTTTAAAAAAAAGAAAGCAGCACGGCATGTTGTTCTGCCTGCTCTGTGCTCGATCCAGCTGCACCTACCCGACAATTTCAGTTAGAGGAGCAAAACTGACACATGCCAATATGCAGGGTGAAGACAGCTTAGACCAAACTGAAAAGCTCCTCTGTAATTATAACGCATCATTACAAACTGTATACAGTTTTGTATGAATGTGTTGATTTTAAGTTAGGCAAATTTGTCAGTAAAAAATAATTGAATGAATCTGTGCTTTGCTTTTTCGATGCAAATTGTGAAGCTGGTATGTTGTAGTCAGTGTATATTATGCGTTTTGATTTGAAGTTCAAGGAAAGTTCATGACAAGTCAAAGGCCTTTATGAGTTGTTTCTCCCTTCAGATAAAAACATAACCGTGGTAAAAACAGATAAAACACATGATAATGGTGGAAGGCCACGCTGCTGGACCGTCAGGTGTAGCTCGACTTACTGCGCAATCAGTATCTTGACGAGTCCTGCGTGGCCACAGGTGGCAGCGGCGTGCAGCGGCGTCCAAAGCTCATTGTCCTGAGCGTTAACACTGGCTCCTCGGTCCAACAGGATCTTCACCATCTCCTCATAGTTGTCTATACAACACTATGGAGAAGGGGGGAGAAGGACAAGGTTAGACCTGGTTCATCTTGGATGAAAAACTCTATTAATGGTGGAACAGGTAGAACAAGAAGGCAAAACTGAGAGGCTGTTAAGGAAAAGGGAGACATTAGACGAATACAGAAACATGCGTTATAAGCCACTGTTTTTAATTCACTCATCACTTCATGTGCCAAACTGAAATGGTATCTCCCCTGTTTGAAGAGAGGATGTGCTGGCTGAAAAAGAGCTCTTCATATAATTCATTCTGTGAGTACTCAGCTGCGCTGCACGGATGCCGTAGCAGCTCCATCACCTTAATCAGTGCATCAAAGGAATGAAAAGGAACTAATTTGTCACCAACAGCAAAGACTAACGAGAAGTCTGCAAAGTAGCCAGGGTGAATCACTTCAGAAGTCCTTTAACAGCATATTGCAGACAGCAAAACTGTGAACGCATTAAGCCAATTTGGACCCAGTCATTCTGACACATCGGCCATTGTGTGGGCTGCTTCCTGGATCTGAGACTAAGTTGGAAATGCACGCAAGGCTCACACCCATCCACAGAGAGGGTGGCACAGATTGAGGGAAGAGAATGTTTTCCTATTTAAACTGGGTGTGAATGTTGTGTGGAGAGACAGAAGAGAATTTTCCATCCTGCGATTTGGCTGCGACCGCGTTTCTCTCCATCATGATTATGGTACTGCCACGCAACTAAACAAAAACTGAGATGGAGAGAGAAAAAACAGAGCCAGAGGAAGGATGGGATTACTCTGCCACTGTAGGAGGTTCAGATATAATCAGAACAGTGAAGGATTCGGGGCAAAGCTTTGTTTCCTGAGAACAGTCAGTGTTTAAATCTGCTCCATGACATTTTTAATCAAATCCCTGCTTTACTCTGGTCTAAAACAATTCAAAGAAAAATTCATTCCACAAACACGTATCTGCCAGAACATCTTGTCTACACAAAACTTGAGTTTGATCTCTACCAGCAGAGTTGAGTAAAACAAGACATCCCTCACTTCCTCCTCTGAGAAATTATAAGATCAGCCTGTTATAACACTAGACAACATTAGGCTGAAGATTGAAACAATGAGTGGAAAATGAAAAAAAAGGTAGTCAGTAAATAGAAACAAAACACAGATAACAGGAAATATAAATGCATCCTGTCTGTAAACCGCTTATCCTTTTTCCAGGAAGAAGAGCCTGCTCTGTGAGGAGGCGGGGGGAAGTTGATTGCATCTCTGATTACCACCCGACAATCATCAAAGTCTGCTTCAACTTTTATACGATCATAGAATTTTTAAAATAACATACCTCGATGGAAAATTAGCAGCAAACTCCTTACTGGTCTGCGGTTTTCAAAGATCTCTATCATGCTCTATTGTTGTCAAAGAGCAAAACTAATATTTGTCTTATTTCACTGAGAATGTTTTTATTTAAATTTGTTGGTTTGACTGAAAACATAGAGGGAACTTTTCATTACATTCTATTCATTACTAACAATACACTTGTTCATCATGGAAAAACAACAATGGCAGTGCAGAGGATAATTAATACTCTTCATCAGGAATTACTTTTATCTCTGGGAATATTTGGAATATTACATCATTTCAAGTCAGATGTTGTTTCTCAGCTCAGACCAGAGACAGCAGTCTCCAGATATCTCAGTATATAAAGTTTTGTTTTCTAATGTTTCAAAATTACTTTTCTTATTTTCATTGTCTGAATGAATGGAAAGAAAGTGAGCCACTAGACCTGGCTCGTGACCACCTTGTAACCTCTACGAACACAAACAGATGCTGATCTGAACTGGCTGAGTATAAAGACCAGTTTGCTCACAGTGTCAGATTTCTTTAAAAAAGAGTAGGGTGTTTTGTTTTATTCTTTTATTGAGAAGTTTTATTGAGAAGTTTATTGAGAAGTTTGTAATAACTCTGTAAAAGTTAGAGCTGAGCTGGCAATAATATAAAGAGTGGAACAAGATGAATATAAACATACCAGATATGGAAGGTCACTTTTTTAAAGCATCCCTTTAGATTTATTATCACAAGTCTCTGCTCTCCAGGGATTTTACATCTGTTATCAGGATTTGGTGGCTTCACCATAAAACACAAGCAAACACAAAATACACCAGCACTGTGTGTGTCAGAACCAAAGTTGTTTACATTCTTTGGAGTAGCTTTGACTTACAAGGCTGCTATGAGTTCATAAATTCATGTAAAAATAAGACACGGAACGAAATTACTGTACAGGACCAGAGGACAGATAGGAAACCGGTAAGAGGAAAGCATGCACTGACTAAAAACACATCTAACACATCCTGTGGGGGGCATTTTTAGCTGAGTGTAAATGGAAAAAAAAAGGTTTGATTTGAAGCAAAGTCTAAAAAAGGGAGGCTGGCATTCTGAGACGGTTTCTTTTCAAAGTTATTCATGTGAAATAGAAACAAACGATAGAAAGCAAACTGATGCTTGGCACTAAGCTGTAGCTGTCTCTGGGCTGCAGACAGCTTCAACAGACAATAATAGAGGCTGAGTGTGAAGTTCAGCAACATCCGCTCAGCTGAAACCTGCAGCTGACTCCCGATTCTCACAGAGCGAGGCCACCTTAAGAGCTTTGTAGGCCGAGTTAGAAAACAAACCGAACTTTCACGGCAATTCATGACTCTTTTAATTTAATAAAAAATACGGGTAACATAAACATTCCAGTTTAGTACAGTTGAATCAATTTAAAGTGAATAATATCACGAGGATATCAAGGGCAAATCCAGACTGGGGTGGTGGTCCCCCTATTTAAAAGGGGGGACACTCTTAAGCCTCTCTGGGAAGGTCTATGCAGCGGTTCTGGAGAGGAGGGTCCATCAGATAGTTTTTGTCCTGGCCTTTTAAAGCTTGTGAAAAAGCAATGGCTTTTTTTTCCAAAGCTTACAAAACAATAGACTAATGTTTTGATATACAGATTTTGTGATAAATCTTCATGATTTCTGTAAATCAGTTTGTCTTCTACTCACTTCTACTGGCTAGACGTTTATGACTTGCTGCTTAGCGTGATATAGTGGAAAGGAGGACATTTCCTGTCTGTGACAGACAGAAAGAGCAGGAAGGCACCGACTGTCTGTATGGTCTGTGTTCAAAGCAGCCAGAAGCAGAAGTTGTGTTTTAAGTGTGAACAACTTCCGGTGGTAATGGCTGTATCGAAGTCCAATTCCTAAAAGATGCAGGTGCACAAAACACACGTTTCCTTGGTGTAACACCTGTGCCTGTACGAATGAAAAGATTCAACTGGCAATTCAGAGTTTGTTTTAAAGCTATTGGTTTCATTTTCAGTCTCAATGTGTGGTGATTAGAAAGCTGCAATTCAGCCTACGATCCATCATGCATGCATCCACGACATGACTACTAAAAGACACACAATTTTTCACAGAAGTCTGATACACTGATGAATGAGCTCACTTTCAGGGTTTCAGCTTGTAGCACGTGCACGACAGATATCATCAAAAATACCTATAAGGCTTCAGCCCACACGCCAGCTAAAATCTGGTGACAATCTCCTGAATAAACCCACATACTAAGGCCCACCTGCTACCTAAATGCTTGACTTATCTCTTAGCTTTCCTGCAGGGAAAAAAATATATATATATTTGTACCCACAAACCAACTAGTGAAAAAACTTCAAACAACGAAACGGGAAAATAATGCACCATTCACGAAAAGTATTCACACGAGGATGGGAGTGTAGCTGAAACAAAGGCCAGGATTATCGTCCTTGTGTGGCAGGACAACGGCTCCATTCCTGCCGGGAGCCGTCAGTGGGCTGAGGGGCCTGCGGATTAGGCTGAGGAGCAGAGAGATGAGGAAATAGGGCTGACATTTTGAATTTTGAATAGCTTGAAATTTGATCACAGCCATTGCCAAGAGGGCTACTGGTGACAAAGATGGCACTAAAAATGACATACTGAAGGGTTAAGAGAGAGAACCAGGAGGACCAAGAGGAGACGAGCAGCTGAGACAGCTGGAGATAATAACTCAAAATGTGCACTTAGTTTTCAGTGGATCTGAACAAACTAATGCAAATCATCAAGAGAGGTGGGAGCTGCATCTGAAATCATCTGTTAGGAGTTTGGCCTAAAGGCTAATAGGCTAAATGTAGCTGGGACATCACGGAGAACTGCACGTTCCGGGGACATTCAAACCGGTGTTGTCTTTGTTTTCCTCTTCAGGTCATCAACTAAAAATCGTATCTCTGAAGGAGTTCTGAATCCTGAGGAGCTGAAGTAACAAGGAGCTGAATGCCTAGAGGGCTGAAAGCACACGGGAACACAGACCTGCATTTTCAGAGCTTGGCACATTAAATCCTGTAGATGGCTATTAAAGAGGGTCTGCGATCTCTCATCTCAGAGCAGCTTTAAGAGGAAACATTCACTGAAGGAAATTCCTGGTACATAATAAAGGTAAGAGCCCCTTGAAAGGGTGTAAAATCTCTGATTGCGCACACGGTCCCTTTAACTGCGTCTGTGGGCCAGTTCCTTTCTCAGCTCAATTAATCGCGCATTTGATGCGGGCTTCAAAATAATGAATTATTGTACACGTGGCCTCGACCTAGATCATCCATCACATCTTTGCAAACGAAGCGCCCACGCACACTTGCAGCAGTGGCAGGGATACCAGGTTATTTCCTGTGGCTGTAAAATGTGTGATGTGGTTCATTCAGGGACCCTGGAAGCCGTCTATTGATTAATGTCTAACATCAGAGAGGTGAGAGCAGGCCTGGGCAGATTCAACATCTGATTTAGAGGAAAACCGCCGCCACCTTTCTTCATTTAAGTCACATTCTGCTGTCACACACGCTTGTCTGGTCAGGTGTTTACTCCTCTTGTGAGGACCGCCAACTGTTTGCAGGGCCTGTTACACTGTGGAGACACCCTCTCTTTACCAGGGTCAAAGAAATAAGGTTGGAGTGTGTCTTGTGCTCTGAAGTCAGCATCATACAGGTGAATCTGAGTCGTGTTTGTAAAAAGGAATTTTGAAAAACTGCGCAGGGTGACCATCAAGGCAGAAAATATTCGATTGCTCTTTAAAACTGAAAAGTCATCTTGAACAGTTGGTAGATATCTGTGTTTAAAACACCAGCTACACAGGTGGTGACTGATAGGCTTCTCTTTTCTCTGCCTCTGATCATTTTTTCCGTTTCCGAGCAGGAGCCTGAATATTAGACTTTGAACAGCTGAGAGGAAAACGGAGATGGCTGAGAAATGAGAGAGCAGACAGGTAACGGCCTGAATGTTAAGAGGGAAAAAAGACCAAAGTTATAAGTTACTTCATATCACTCAGAAATCTTAAAAACCAAGAACACATCCTTCACTTTAAATCCGACTTTTAAGAGTTTTTTTTTTTTCATGGCTTTCGCCAGCTGCTGACTTTTCATTTTGGCGTTATCAGTATCTTTGTGGACAGGCAGCAACAGCCCTAAAGGTAAAATGTGCCCTCCAGCTGCTATCTTTTGAGCTCAGGGTCTGGGTGATACCTGGGACAAACAGAAAAGGGAATTTATTTCAAATGAAACTGAAAACAAAATGCAAGAAAGGAAATATATCTTTGTGTTGATTTGTGACAAAAAAGGGGAGCACAACGATCCATTGTGTGCACTGCTAACAAAGCAGATATAGGATGTGATGTAATTAGGCCTGGAGAGGTGGGTATCTAGGTGGTTAATCTAAAAGAAAATCTGTGAATCATCTGTAAATTAGAGGTGGACTAACAGGTCTTTGAGGGCCAGGTGTTCAAACACTGATTTGCAGCAGTTTTTTTAGAATATGTCTCTCATAGTGGACATGCACCTAAGATTAAAATTTCAGACTCTTTCATGATTTATAAGTACTTGCAAAGTCGCAGGTTGTTGAACTTCTTAATTTCCTCACTGTAGTCTGAATTTCCATTATCTTAAGCAGTCAGTTCTCTGGTGATTAAAAACTGTCACACAAAAAGTAGCTCACAAACTTATATGCAAATGCCCAAAAAGTGAAGCAGTAGTATTTGCATACTGTGCCATATCTGTTCTCGCTTGACATCGAGCAGTAAGAATCAGCACAACATTAATGCTCTAGTGCACAAATCTGTCACCGACCAGTGAGAGGAGTGAGATTTCTGAGGATATAAACACTTACATGCAGCCCAGAAGTAAATGTAATTGGCATAAGATTTTGTGGTCAAACTAGCTGGACATTGATAGTCTTTTGACACCCTTAACTGAGCGGTTTCAGGTGGACAGAGATGCAGGCTGTGGTCATCGACATCCGGAATCAACCGCAGTCATCAAAATGGATTGAAATCAATTTTTTTAATGTTGGCTTTTCAATGTCACTTCTGATTTCCGCTGATGACCTCTAAGTCTTAACACATCAAACTAATCAGAAAATGTTTTAATGGTGTTATAACAAAAACAGAAAATAGAGAATAGTATAGTTAGACTCAAAAATAGCAGAAGAAAAAAAACAAGATTTTTTTTTTATATAAACAGTTCTCTTGCACAAATAAACACAAACAAGTATCACTTTTGGCTACTTTACATCTGAGCTTTTAAGTCATTTGACGGTTCAATGTATCACTCAAAGAAATATCTCAACGTGACTAAATGAGCGTCTCAAACTGCAAAGCGTGTAATTACACCATCTTTTTTGACAATTTGGGATAAGATGCTGACATCAATTTCCATTCAGAGTGTCTGTATCAAAGAGATTCAGAGGCTGTAATTGGCACATCTTCAGCCGAAGCCACTGACAGCCGGGAGAGCCTCTGAAACAGTGAGACTAATAGTCCTACCTGATGCAGAGCGGTGAGGCCGTCTTCATTGCAGAGGTCTGGACTCACGTTGTTCCTCAGAAGGTAGCGGACTGATGGAGAAAGAAACAGAAAAAACATCATGAAAGATGAAGCCTGGTGCTTTTCTTTCTGCTTTGTCACTTCACTGCATGTTTAATTTGCACTTACACATTTATTTTGTATCTAATTATAAGCGTTTACCGTCCTCTTTATATGAACAGATGCTGTGGCTGCTCTAAAAAAAACACGGCAAATGTGGGACAAAATAATGAAACCCTGTAAATCTGCGATCTTCTAGTTACTCGCACGACTTCCTGATGTGCTTCAGCTTAACCTTTTGTTACCTGATAACATCACTAATCAATCTACAACCCATTAATCATGGCACATCATGCAGGCGTGTCTCTGAGGTGACTCCAATCTCTCAAATTATCCGCCTGCCAGGATGTTACCTAACTGACCTTGGAAATATGGAGGAACAGATGAGAAGAGAAGAGGTAGGAGGAGCTGGGGGTGGAGCATGACGTAATGATGCTGATGGTTACTGTTTGTTTGGACCCTTGCTCCCCATATCTGTTCTGTCAGTCTGCATGCAGGACAGCTGCCTGACAGCAAACCCTACCCACATGACCAGGAAGGGGACACATCGGGCTCCCGTCCATGTCAGTATTACCTCTTGGTTTTAAGAAGAGCTGTCATCTGCCTTCATTTGACTAGCACAAAAATGGTCTTCTACATATCAGTGAGGACGGTTAATATGTTCAATATCACGGAAGAGACAAATTAGCAAAACGAGTGAAGGATAATTGTTGCGTTCGTAATTACAGAGAAATAAAGAAAGGAAACTGAACAGCTACACGGATCTTTTCGTTTCTAAAAGAAACAATGACTGAACCAAAACACGTTTTTACTTGACTATTTGCTTCTCATCTCAATCAATCCAATGCCCAGCAGTGTTACAGGAGATGCTGACAGCCCTTTAATATCGAGTGTCCACATCTCTCCCCGGGAGAACTTAAGCACTGATCAGACCTTGACTAAGACATTTCAAATGACAACCCAACAGATGTTTCAGTGGATCAGAGACAAAACTGGCCACAGTGATGTCTCAGGGTGTGAATATCTACTCAGGAGTCCCTGGAAAGCCCCCTCCTGCTGCCCTCTTTGAAAAGCATGTCAAATAAAAAATGACTGACTGTGCGAATTCTTGTGTTGCTGCAAAACAACAAAAGCTTTGCATGTTTTGGAGAGGGGAAACAACAGGCGCCATTCAATCAAACATGTCTGAAACCTCTCCCAACATTAAATACACATGTCCAGCCTCCTTTACCTTTCAGATGTGATCATACTTTCTAAAATTATATTCAGTCAGATCTATTAACATTCTAACAAGTCAGCTCATTAAAAAACACTTTGAGAAACTCTTTTTTTTAACTCTCACAGTGAGACATCATGATGTGGGTTTTCTTTTCTTTCTTTTTTTTCAAAGAGGATATGAAGGTCCAGGTCTAAAAACGACATTCAGTGTGCATAGATCAGGGTTTTTACCACAGATTTCTAGAAGAAAAATAACAGATCAAACCTTGATGCTCTTGAAAAAGAGCATTCAAATTTCCAAAAAGCAGCATGAGTTCATACAAAGCCTTTCGATCAGGAGGGGAGGGCCGTGTCAGAAACGAGGAGAAAAGTCGGCTACAACACAGAGAGAAAAAAACTCAAGGTTGTACTGCCAAAGCCGTGTATGGCTGCATGAAATAAATATCAGACACCATCTCTGCAGTGCTGTGCTGAGCATGAACCGTGAACAGGCTGGTTTGTAAACAACAAATCTCAGAGGGTAGACAGTACCAACATCACCTCTGCAGCCTCAGTGATTTACTGTCATTATGTCCAGAGGAGCCATGTTTGGCTGCCCCCAGAGAGCACAACTGCATTTCAACTGTTTCTTTCTAGTCAAAACCTTTTTCAGAGAGATGCTTCATGACCAATTAGGTATCAAGCAGCCCCTGAATCCGAATTTTCTCTCATCAGATACATCTCGGTGTGCTTTATGGCTGTATGCAGAGCCAATGTTGAATTCATTGCTTCATAGATTTATTTTTCTTTCGGTTTGAATACCAACACATTTGAGCTGCTAAATAGTTTCACCAATCATTTTGCAAAGGCACCAAATAAATGATGACTCATGCACACGTGATTAAATGTTGAGGCTAAGAAAACCACACTGAACCAGAAAGACCATTGAGATACCCTTAGTTTTGAAAGTGAAACTTAACTACTGAAATAAAGTGAAAAAAATCCATTTATAAATTAATTAGATCTATATTACATCCACTCACAGACATGGTTTCATCCTAATTACAGAGCTACATATAAGGGGCCTCTAGTTTACATATTCTCCTGTATTCTTTTTATCTGATTGTGTATTCATTGTTGCCGGGTAAAGAGATTATCTTGACATCACCCCTTTTTGTTATCATTTGATCTACCCCGGCTGTGGCTCAGGTTTCCAACTACTGGAAGATATTGGCTGGTTCACTCACTCTCTTGTCCACATCAAAGTCAACAACAGATGGCAGTTCCATTTTTAAAATTACTTGTAAATCTCTGAGGTAAAAAGACACCATGCGTGCATGTATTATGTACTTTTTTTTTCCAGCGATCACAGTTTGAACGCGATGAATTCAAGACGACTTCAAGTGGACAGAGAACAATTCTCTGTTCCTCAGTTAAACTTGGCATTTATCTTCCTTTCTCCTCTCATACACAGTTCTGCGACAGTCGAGTAAATGTGGTGAGCAAAGATATTCAAGTGAGAAAGAAAGTGGTTAAGATAAGGGGAAAAAACAAGCTACTTTGAGTAAAGAAATTGTTCCGGATGCAGTTTCTTTTACTCATATTGCGTGCAAATCTTTGAATATTGTTACATTTAATAGAGGACTTAAATCAGTGGGGCTACTGTATATAAGGTGTTGTGAATAAACTTTATCATGTGCAGCAATTTTTGTCACAAGCTGCCCACATGTCAGTAGCAGGAGCTATAACAAAAGTCTAAAGAGATCACTCAAACAGGTTAAAAATATCTCAACCTAAACCCATACAGCAATAACCTACCATCCATCCCACAAATAGAGTCCATCCTCTCTAAATGACTTTAACTGAATCAAACGCAAAGTCAAAACCAAATCAAAAGAAACATTAAACAAGTACTTAACTTTCATCCGAGTCTAGAGAAAAAAATATCCCATATAGCAGCATCACTAATCAGGTATAAAAGGCTGTCATTTCATCCACATTCAAAATACTTCCCCCACCACAACTGAAAAAAGGCGGTGGATATGAACAAAATGGATAAATACATAAATGGCAACGAGTGACAACAAACAGTTGCCTGCTTCTGTTCGCTTTCCTTGCAATTAATTTCCATTACACACTGATTCATCCAGAGTGGTGCAGTTCAGGGAGGCATGAATTACAGTGAATAGGCTATCACATGCAGGTTATTAATCTGCACTCAATTCACCATTCACGTGTTAGTGTGCAGATTTTCCTCCGCGTGAGCATCCAGGCAGCACTCAGTGATATATAAACGCTGCTGCTTCCCCCACACTTTGATTCTGCAAAAGCAATCTCAGGGTGACAGTTGCCTATCGGTTGTTTGTCGGCAAAAGATACTTCTGCCAGACGGCTCCTCGGGATGAAATCTCTTAGAATATATATGGGAGATACTCTACGTGATTGGTCTGAAGGCAGGTATGCGCTAAAATACATGCATTAGAACTGAGCTGCTGTCTCAGTGAGAGGGCGACTGTTGTCGCAGCAGCTGATATGAAATAGATCCAGGATGTGGTGTGTATCTGAGGGTAATGATGATGTTAAGAGAGACCAGTGATTCCTGTGCGCCTCTGCTTCTTCACATATGAGTGTGTATGTACATATATTGTACACAAACGCATATATATATACATGTGTGTATGTGTGTGTATCTATCTCTCTCTCTCCATATATATATATTTATAAACTGAATCTGATATGCAAATAATTTAATGGATAAACCCCTTGGTTCTCTCAAAGCTCAGCCACTGCTCGCTGAAACGTAAAAAAAGAAAAGCTGCATGAACTAATTATCATGATGTAATTCAACTTTTGGACACATTATATTATACAGAGGACTAATTAAAATAATTGCAGAACTGCATAACTCAAAACATAAACAAACACAATCTAGAGGTTGATTTTGAAACGGTTCACAGCCATTTCTGTTTTGATTTTGATTTATAATTCAGGTGTATAATTTGGTGTACAAGACCAAAAGAAGGATGTAAAATGATTTTATAAGGCTGCACTGTGGTGAGCAGCCCTGATTGAACACAATGGACTACCCAAGGTGATGAATACAGACCAAACATTAGCTGCTATTCAATTTATAAAGCTGTGGGAAATAAGAAATGACTTCCATCACAGCATCATCTGATACTGTGTAATGACTGGCCAACATTAATATAAAGCACACATTTTAAAGCAAAAAAAGAATCTGTGCTCTGAAAAGATTATTCTACAGTAAAAACAGCAGTATCTGGACAAAGAGCATTAAAAAAGTATGAAACTGTAGCAGACAGCATATACTTTGATATATACTGTATCTGAACCATGAATGTGATTCCGATCTGTCTATTGCAACACCCAATGTGACTGAGGCAGCACAAAATCTTCAAAATGCAATCCATTACATCCAAGGATCACCATGGTGATTATCTACCAAGCCACAATCCAGTAGCACGACACAGCAGAAACGTCAGGCATGTCTTCCTGGGCAGGTCCCGTGAATTCCCATTGAGGGAGGAGATGGAGCTGGACGAGATGCTTCCAAAAAGATAAAAGAAACATCAACAAATAACGGCCCAGGAAGAGAAACCCACCCTTCCTTCCTGTTATCTTACAGCGCCTTCACAATACTGTGTGTGTTTGTGTGTGTGCGTGCGTGTATGTGTGAGTGTGTGTGTGTGTGTGAGTGGGTGCAGCTATGTGCTGGAGATGGAAACAAAACCCACAGGAGCTATTTAGGTCATAACT